AACGATACATACTCTTGGGTCGACATTCCTCTTGGACTACCAAAAACCATGCTTACTTTCATGTCAATCATCAACAAAGTCCAGAAAACCCGTTTCCATAATTCTGCTTCCTTTTTAGATTTGAGGTCTTTTACATCCAATGAAGCATGTCGATGCGCTCCTCGTTCTTGGACGAGTCTCACGGCAATTGCGGTCATCATATTACCTACATCCGGACCAGTAGCCACGTTTTGAAGATAGTGCATCGCAAGCTGCAAAGATGAATAGGTAAATCAACAAGTCGCGGTCGCATCAGAGAGAAGTGGTCATACACAGTACATTTGCAAGTGATATAATGTCACGTCCTGTCCGAAAGAGAACTCCTGAATGGGCAACTGCTTGAACCATTTCATCCCAGAGCTGAGAAAGACTGTATCCGGATCATCTGTACTGCGCTGCTCGTATCGATGTCGACACGCTACAGCGCAAATTGCAAGAACAAGGGCTCCGAAACCATTATCACGTAAATGCAAACCTTCTGACAGGGATTTTTCGAAAGACGGACGGTGAAGAAGAGGGAAGAATACGTGTAGCTTGGTAAAATATGCATTCACAAGGGTTTTTAGTTCGTTGTCGTCAGGGAACTCGAAATGGAGAACATTCGGTACGGGGACAGGTAACCACTAAATATCCACAAATACGATCATTGAGAGCGTGCAACAATCGAATTATCTTGGACCTACCTCCGGCAGCTCCCAAAACTCGGGACGCTTCATTTGTTTCAGAGTTGATTTCCATTCTGGTAAATTCGAGTCAACCTTCTTCCTATGATCCATGGCGGTGACCATCAACAGCATGTTATTCGCCTCTCCAAAATGAACACGTCTTGGTAATGAAGATGGGGCTAATGTAAACTTTGCCATCTCTCGAGAAAGCTGGTCTACGGCTGCCGCATCAGTTTCTTCGGTCTGCAGAGGTTCGTCGTCGTCGAACGAAGAAAGCTCCGAGGCGGGTAACGATTCTTCAAGGGGCGGAACAGAGAGGCGAGTGTGACTACGTCGACATTCCGCAAGCTGAACTTCGAGAACCTTGATACGGGTCACAAGTTTGATGATAAGTTCCCTAGTCGTCTCGCTGTCATCTAGAGAAAGGCAGCTTTGGGAATCTGTTCCTTTCAGGATCTCCCCCACCAAGTCTTTAACGGACTGAGATAAGATCGCCCGACTTGATCTACACTGAATAGGTAAGTAACTCAATCTCCGGATCCGGCAGAAGACGTGATTTACCCAGGCTTAGGACCGCGTTTCTGAAAATAACAGATAAGCCCAGAAAATGTACGGAATTGTGACGCTTTCTAACCTGTTGCGTAGCATTGTGAGTACACTCAGAATCTGTACTCAAACAAGATGAGCAGATGTTATCCGGCATGACAGCACTATCACCTATTTCAGAGTTGAAAAGGGTTAGACTGACTTTGATATCGTTAGATAATAATGAGTCCTACATCGGACTTGAATTCTGTGTCAGTGCCAGAGCTGTAATATAGAACAATCACTCCTACTTTTACGACGTCTGCATTGATCGCAAGCGTGATTGGCGCGCTTTTTATCTGCTCTCGTTCCGGACATGGTGGTAGGAAACAAGAAGGGTGTTTGGCTTAGTTTGGGTTTACCGTCCGCCGCAGCCGGGCGAAACACTTTCAGTCCCCGTATTATAAAATTGACTATTAATATACATAGATAACATATGGCGCGTCTAAGCTTCTCGACGTCCGGGCGCTCCTTCAACCGTAGCAACCATCTCATCCATGCTTGTCATGAAGACATCCCAATCTTGAAAGAGACTGTATGCAACACCAAACCATGAGTGTCCGACACGATGTACCCTACATATGTACACACCTTTGTTTTTGGTTATTATCCCCCGAGTCGAAGATAGCAAGCTCTTCATCAGTAACATCATAATTGTAACCGAGATGTGGAGCAGCGTAGGATCCGCCGTTCAGATTAAGTGGTCCATTGATAGGTAATTGTCCCAATTCACTCGAGTAAAATGGGAGGTTGAGATCTCGTTGGTCAATGAGAAAATCACGGGACGGATTCTGACTCGTTTGGTAGACCTCTGGAGCTGCTTGATAAGACTCGGGGGCAGGCGAGGGCGAGGACGGCCAGCGATTTACTGACATTACAGTATTGATGATATCACTATAGACATAACGAAGTCAGTCTTTCAAGGGTTATAGGACAAGGTAAGTATTTATAAACTTGCACCAAACGCCCGGCTAGCGTGAACCTGAAAGGATTTAAGTAAATAGATTTTCTCGATAAATTGAGACTTTACCTCGGTTCGTACAACCGTAGCAAGTTGATACACTTGTATATGTCATTGAGCTCGTTACCCACGTTAAAGGTACATATAGCATTCATATGTTTTCCTCTCCATAGATTTACTGCAAGGATTACGGCTGAATTGAACAAAGGGAGCTTTGATAGGGTCAGAACGTTGTAAACGCGGTTTCACTCACGAGGTTACTCACCAAGAAATGTCCTGCAGTAATAAATTGATGCGGTAGACAAGTTTCCACGACATGGATGCACGATCTAGCAGCGTTTGTGCAAATTGCCAAGGATGGAAAGTTTGATTGGGACTTTTGCCCAGGTCGCGGAATGAAACGTCGATGAACTTGGATCTGCACCCAGTAGTACATGCTGTAGAGTACTGCAGATTGGGCAAAGAATTTCTCGTCCTGGTGTTGAATATCCCATTTGACTAGTTCATTAAGCAAAAAATGAAAATGGAGCGATGAGTATGAGCGCTGTTTACTCACTATGACTAGGAACTTCCGAGACCCATTTGTTGAGCGCCGAGTCCAATTCCACTACCGCTCTCTCTTGCCAATCCAGAGTGGAGATACCCATGCGTATATGTAATTCAGAATTCCGTACAGAATACTAATAATATAATCAGGTGAGTGAAAAAGTTTACGACGAAAAGCAACTGACCAATGCTTGCTGCGAAAAAGAGATAATCTCCAATAGCTTCAAGAAATGATTCCAACCAGCGGTCAAAGACGGCTTCCCAGGAGGTTGTACAAACGCCTGACTCGGATCCTCCTCGTTCTCCCAATATTCCTCGTCGCATTCGACAGGAAGTTCCAGATCGAAACTCGAGTTTCAAGTCAGCCTAAAGAGCCTAGCAAATCTCAAGAACAGAACTTACTCTTGACTGGATATAGCTCTCGGACGACCGAAAAGCATACTCAGCTTTACGTCGAAGAGAATCAACGTCCAGAAAACTCTCTTCCAGAGCTCTCTTTCTATGGTAGGAGTTTTATCCGTGACGAGATGACGATGAGCTCCAACCTCTTGAGCCAGCCGGATAGCTATTCCATTCATCATCCATCCTATGTCGTTTCCGGTACCCAAGTTTTGAAGGTATGTCATCGCAATCTGAAAGGGGCAAAGTAAGAGATAGTAAAGCATCAACTTGAAGAATACGCACAGAATAAGTTTGCATACGATATAGAGAAACCTCTTGTCCAAAGGCATATTGCCTGATGGGTAATTGGTCGAACCATTTCAAGCCTGATTTCAGGTAATTTTCACCAGAACTACTGGTGATACGTTCTGTGTAATAATGTCGAGAACCGAGAGCACAGATTGCTAGGACTAGAGCTCCGAATTCACCATCCCGAAAGTGAAGGCCTTCTGCAATCGATTTGTCAAACCCTGGACGGTAGAGGATGGGATTGTAGAGAGAATGTCCGTCAAAGTAGGCCCCTATCAAGTCTTGTAGTTCGTTCTCATCTGGGAATTCAAAATTGTACAGTGTGGGCTTGGGCACGGGTATCCACTGGAGAGAAACAACAACATTCACAAGGTATAATGATAGAAAGCTACCTGAGCAACCTACCGCAGGAATATCCCAAAACTCTGGCCTCTTGATATTTTTGAGTAACGACGACCAATCGGGCAAACTCGAATCCGCTTTTTTCCTATGATCCATCGCCGTCACAACCAACATCATATTACTCGACTCTCCGAAATGACTGGACTTTTCACTCGAGCCCAGAGTAAACCTCGCGATGTCTTTGGTGAGCTGATTTACGTCCTCTACGGAACTGATGGTTTTTGATTCCTCGATTTGGAACTGAGAAGGCGAGCCCGAGCCTGAGCCAGAGCTAGAACTGGAGGTTTGTTCCGGGAATACTTGAGTGTGGCTTTCACGACAGAATTCTAGCTGAGATTCGAGTTGTTTGATACGTTTTGAAAGATTGGTTACAATATGTGTAGTTGACATGCCGTCGACTAGAGCGAGACAGTTCTCTGAAGGGGTTCCTTGAATGATTCCGACTATAATGTCCTTGAGAGATTTAGTAAGACTGCCTCGGGTTGACCTAGATATGCACTATCAGAAACATGCTCTACAGTCAGTAAGAAAAATAGCAATACCCAAGCTTTGGTCCCCGTTTCTAAAAAAAAGATTAGCAATTAGGACGAATGCTTAGACGTCCCCATTAAAATCACCTTTCGTATTTGATCATGCGTGCAGTCAATATCCAGAGATAGACAAGACGAGCAAAAGTTATCTGGCATAGTAGCGCTGTCGCCTTGTTTAGATGTCAGAGTCAACCTTGCAACACCTCGAACCAGGGTATGACTCACAGCGGACTGTCAGAAGGTTTAAATCAATAAAGTTCAGTCACTTGTCGCAGCAAATGGATGTCAATTCCTCACTCTTCCGCGTTTTACAATGATCACAAGCATTCTGAACGCGTCGTTTCTTTGCTGGCCCAGGTACAGTCGAGGTCATGATGATAGTCGAAAGGAGAGATACTTTAGCGCATATATCACTATCAGTTTGGTTGTGCTTGTCTGAAGCCCGATGACGCGGCGTAACGGCTGGTGCCGTGGCTGTGCTGCCAAAGACATTTCAGTGGAGAAAAAATATGTGCTCTCTTCAGAGAAAAGGTGTAGATGAAAACAGATTAAAAGATATTGACTTGAAACTTTCTCATGTAAGGGCCTGACCGGGAATTGAACCCGGGACCTCCTCGAAAATTCGGTACAATGTTCGCACCCTAACAAGGAATCATACTACTAGACCATCAGGCCGATATCCAACTTCCCAGTGGTACACTAGACCTCCCACGTTTCTGGAGTATTGACCTCGATAAAATCACTGCTTACAGCCCTGAAAACGAAAAGCTCTAGAGAACGATCACTACCAAGTATGTCCTGTCTCATGAGAGTAGCCCAGACGTAAGGATTTTGCTGTGGACATATCGTCAGTTTGATCCAGTAGATAGAAATACCACGACTTCTATTTTTCTCATTTTCATTTCATCTTGTCTTCCAGTCAAGTTTCAGCCACTGATTCGTGGCCCAGATACTAGAAAAAGAATCTCCGAGCTCCCCGAGTCGTACCTCCACGTCCCATATTAGGGAATCAAAAGTACCAAGTATATCCTCCGAGGCGACTGCGGTTTACTTGACTATTTATTCAAACAGGCACTTGGATGCGCGTCCAAGTACTCGCAGGAGCTGTGAACGTCTTGACTTACCTGGTCTAGTACTTACTGATCTCGAGCTATTTCGAGCAAGTCCTCAGTTTCGGTTTCAGCCACATGTAAAATATATACTTGTGAACATAATTTTGACCGGGGTTCATGGGAGTCACCTCCAGCCGAATCTTGATCATAACTCGATCAAATTCTACTTCTGAGACCTGGAGTCGGAGCGGCTTTGGCTTGATCTTAGTTCCTGTTCCTAGAAATCCAAACCCAAATCAAGCCACAGAAAAAGTCTAGCGTTGATACTCTGTTTCGAGTTTGATACAGCAAGTAGGTAACAAGTTGTGGTGGTAGCATTTCGAGGAGAGATAAAAATTATCACGAATCGGGAGACCGTGCCACATACATGCACATATTTACCTTGATAGAAATTATATCGTCCGATAAAAAAAATCACGATACGTCCTTTTGATATGGACACTTACAAAGTTGAACGGGAAGCCTCGCGGACACCTGCGTATTCAAAGAGAAGCAAGTTTTAACTGAATACTGTGTATTCAGTGAATGCAAATCAATATCTCGCGGTGGCCGGGTATTTTGAACTCGACTACACAGTGGCAAGTAGATGGTTAGTTACGATGGCACTTCGAGTCTGTCTGATTCAGATCTCTACTTTCCTTCGAGTTTCAGTCTTCAAGTGTCCCTCAAATTCGTCACGCTAAATAGTTATAATCAACAATTGGAGGCGCTGGCGATTTTTACATTAGCATGGTCAGGGTATAAAACTTACTTATTGTACAAAGGTCATCATCTCTTTTTATACCAGTGACTGGGCCCTGCTGTAGGAGACACACACAAACAACCTCGGCATAATGCAAAAAATCTGATTTTTGGATATCAAGGGCCTGACCGGGAATTGAACCCGGGACCTCCTCGAGAGGACTTGGCACCCTAACAAGGAATCATACTACTAGACCATCAGGCCGACGAATGTGGATGTTTTGGGACTCTAGTCGTGCGGATGGATAGAGGAGGAGCGAGAAAGTACACCTCAAAAAGTAAAATAAAAGCGGGACTTGTCACAGTCGGGCCCCGGACGAGAGAACCTCTTGCTTTTCTAGGAGATCCAATCAGCAAACAGAGTCGGCATGCCGAGAACACCTCACGTTTCTTCCATTGTATGTCTAGGTTAATCCGGGCAAAGTGGGAATCCGTCTGGGGGTGATACAGATCATATATCATATCATACATCTAACGCCACATTACAACCCACCGCTTCAAGGTGATGAACACACAACAATGATGTCGCCTCCTGTGTGGCAAAGGCTCCATGTTCTTGTTCTTGACGGGTTCTAGCCTAGTCCTGACGTAGCAAGTGGCATCATGCACGCGTTTTGAGTGCCCAAAACCGGTTGGCAGAATGCGTTTTGTATTGTATTGTATTTGATTGAATGATTTGTATTGAACGGAGGGACTATAGATTGGATTTGGCAAGGTCGCGAGGGAAAGAAAAGTTTGTTTATATACATATTCAGGACCCGGCCCACCATCAGATTCAACATTTCTGAATCTTGAGAGACTTGGTTGTGATGGTGGAAGAAAAAATGGGAAAGGAATCACGCGAAATTCCGGAACCAATCAAAAGAATGATAACGTAAAGCAATTCATTTGGATTTTGTACAACTTGCTTCGGGCTCTGATCGAGGTAGGCTCCACTAATCTGTAGTGGCACTCCACATTCCACTGCCATTGTCATTGTCAGTCGATGTCAATGAAGGAGAACCGGATTGATTGAGGGGGTTTTATTCCAACCAACTTTTTTTCTTTTGTACTGCACGTTGCTGCAAAACCGAGAAAACGAATAACGCTCAAGGGAAGTTGTCAAGGAAAAGCTTGTGCGTACCAATACCTAGGTTCCGAGGTATTTACTTACATGTGTGATGTAAATTGGTTTTTCTTTTCAAGCTTCTACCACCCATTTTCAACACTTGGTCAACTAAAAACGACGCCCGACGCAGTTGACTTGCGTCGATTCCCGTCCTGCTGTCGCTACCTGTACGAAACCTATCAAATTATCGAAACACCCACACTCCTTTGACCGACTTATCTGCACGGACACGAACACGAATACTATACTTTTTTCTATCCTACCCTTCCGTTCCTTCATTCTGTCCATCTCATACAAGACACACACGTTCTTTTTACACTCATATACGTACCTGCTTCGCATATCGCGAATAAAGACTTTGTGCTTGGGAGCCTATATACGCATATCCCAATCTAACCGACTTTTTAAAGGGTCTCTTTTCCAAGAAGATTTTCTGGCTAAAGGTGCGTTTCAGCGGTTGGAAAATAGCTGTACTGACGTCTAGTCGCTAGATCCTCCTATACATTACTTGTCAATCAACCCCCGTTTGCATGACAGAGTTGACACCATGGACGACTATGAATATTTTTCTAGTGGTTCTCAAAGGGAACCGAGTCAAAGGAGAGGAAAGAGTAGGAAGAGAAAGTCGTGCGAGCTCGAGGTGGGCAAAAGAGCTAAAAGGAGAGTTGGTACCCCGACATCGTAAGTCTTCAATTTCGCTTGATATGCATGCACGCATGCGTCGCCTGGTGTGCCATTGGTTATATGGACCCATAACGACTCAATATACTTTTCCTACTTTTTTCATATGCCTGGCCTTGTTTCCCTTGAATACAAATCCCCTCATATACTAGATTGTAACACTGATGCATGTTCATTCCTCAGCGTTCCCGTTCCCGTTCCTGTCCCTCACCATCTGTCCACATATCCGACAACATTTGTCCCTCAATATCCTCAGCATCAACCGTGTCACTCGCTTAAAAGCTTCATTACGGCTTTTGCCAGCACGAGCGGAAACGGTCACGGTTACGGTGGCAGATTATCCGACGCAGACGTCGACTGTGCTTGGCTTCCTTCTTCTTTTGGTTTCTCACCATCCCCACCGGACCCTTGTTGGTCTGAATCTTCATCATCGTCACCGTCGCGTCTGTCTGCGGCCTCGTTTTCACTTTCGCCTGCATCTGTCTCTTCATCTTCTTCTCCTTCGACTTCCTCGGCTTCTTCTTTTCAATCCTCGGAAAGTAAAGGTAGCGGTCAGAGGAGGAACGTTGACGCTACACGAACACGACTTTCTCGTACTGAAAAGGCAACACCACCACCATCAAGGTCAAGGTCAAGGTCAAAGTTAGACTCTACCAGTCCTTGTACTTGTGGTCGCACTCGTGCTCATACAAGTGGTGTTCAACGTACGTCTACATTTTTATCTACTTCTCCGATTGGAAATCTTACCTCGGTAGTAGAATCACCAAGAGAAGCTTCCCCATTTGAAGTAGACGATCTAGAGCTTTTAGGAGAGGGGTTACACTTTACTGTCTCTTCTTACGACAACGACAACGTCAACAACAACAGTAGCACCAGCGGACACGACGACGAATACAGATACGACAACAACTACGAAAACGAAACCGAACCCGAATTCGTTTACGATTATTCCCCTTTTTACCCCAATCATCAGACGCACCATCATAATCACTGTCACTGTCAAACCGTACGGCAACAGACACCGACATCATCGTCGTCCGCTTCAACCACACTTGCTCCATCTATTACAGCGGCTACAACTAAAACTAGGAGTGGTTCTCGGTTGACATCGCTACAATCTCCACTCGGACGATTGTTACCGGCGTCATTGCTAATACTTTTAGCTTCTTCTTCTTTACCGACATCTTCGTTTGTGTTTGCGTTCGCTTCTGCTGCGCCTACTTCATCTTACCCTCTCACTTCATCTTCCCATCCACCTTCGTCTTTATCTTCCGATACCTTTGACTCGAGCTCTTTCTCGAATTCGAATTCGCGTCTAGACGAAAACCACACCTCGAAACGTGACCAACTCGAGAATCCACGTTTAGGTTCCGGTTTTGGTCACAAAAAGAATCATTTTCTACGAAACAAGAGACGTTATGTGGATGGGATGTTGGTCATTTCTAGTTCTAAATTTAGAAATGTAAACGCCAACGCCAACGATTATTCGGTTTCGATTTCCATCTCTGGTACGGGAACTGGTTCTAGTCATGCCCTAGGTTCTGTGCCACCGCCGACGACTTTGGCTGGGGAGAAGAAACAGGAGGATTTTCTGGGGTCTGGGGTAGACGGGGAAGGAAGGTTTGATATGAAAGAGTCTAGACTTGAAAGGTGAGTTGTGTTCGTTCCTCGTTCCTTGCTTCTTCCTTTCTCGTTCTCTTCGCTTTTTCTTTCTACCGTGTACCATTCAAGCTGGTCCCGCTTTCCTATTCCTAGTCGAGTTCTCGTTCTCGTTCTCGTATTCGCTTTTTCTTTCTACCCCATCTGCCATGTACTTCATTTCATTTCGTCATTCTTATACCATTCTTTCCATATCACAGCTCGCCACAACCCGTTCCAGACTCGACCTCGGGATACATACCATCATCATTATCACCACCGCCACTATCATCCAACTCGAGACCACTAAACTCTGATTCCCAAACCGGAAAGTCAAACTCAAACTCAAACTCGTGTCGCTCTTGTTCTTGTTCCCCGCGTTCCCGTCTTTCCTGTGCTTCACTAGCTCATAACACCGGTTGTGGCACTAGTACTAGTCCTCAACAACGCTATCCCTATGTCCATGTTCCGAGACACTCGGACTCGGAACCGAGTGGAGCTGCTGCGGTTTTGGTCACTGAACGTGGAACTGGACGTGCACACAAACGTGTTGCGGACGCGGGCGAGGGTCAGAGTGAGCAGAGTCCGAGTCCGAGTGGTGGATTTGTTGTGCCAAGCGGACTAGACTACGAACTCGTAGGACCCGATGGTTCAGGAGCTGCTAGCGAATTGGACTCGGAAAAACGGAATGTGGTCGAGGATGATGGGGAGCTCGTTTTCAGCGAGGTCGAGGTTGGATATTTCGGAGCTTGTTGCTATAACGGAAATGGGCATGGACAACGAGCGTCTATTGGAGACGGGTTGGGTCTGGACTCGGGCTTGGGGTGCGTAATGGTTTTTTATTACTTGCTGTGTCTTGTTATAAACTCGGTGTCGTAACTGACTCTTGCCTTTCTTTCCTTCCTTCTTTCTCCCATTCCCTTTCTTTCTTTTTATATCAGACATACCAACGGACCCAACTCCAGTGGCACCTTTCGTATAGACGGTGTTCTCGCTTACAATTGCAATTGCTGCAATGAGGAGCAGGAGCAGGAGAAGGAAATGATAACACAGATGCAATGCGGAGAAGAAGAAGATGATCATGATCGAGATAGATACGATTCATTCCCTGACCGGAACGTCAATGTCGGTCTCATGGTGGACGAATGCTATGAAAGAGGACGCGGAGCAGCAAAAGTCGTAAACGTAAACGGCAATGTGCTCAGACACGCGTTTTCGGACATGGACAATTTGAGCGGCCGCGACGGGTTCAGTAAACCGTTTCTACTCAAAGTCAGCGAAGATCAGAGGCAGAGTAGAGTTGGACCGAATTTCTCGCCTGTTGGGCTGGGCAAACGGCATAGTGGGTTATTGGTGGAAGGGTCGGAGAGGTTTGACAGACGACAGGATACTTCAACGTCTGCGGCGGCAGCGCCTACGCCTTTGTCTTCTTCATCCTCGGAATCAATCTCGCAAGGGGCGGAATCGGAATCGGTGTCGGACTCGTAAGTTGAAACAGTTCTATGCTGTCTGTCAGTGACATTTTACTGACATTCTACACTTTCTTTTTTCGGTTCTGTGCTTCTCTTCTTCGTTCGTTGTCGTGATTCATGTTGCGTTTTACCTTTTTTTTCTTCCTTCTTTCTATTGCCTCATGTTGGCGTTGGCATTTGTGCGATCGCGCCCTGGCGTTGATCTGCATCTTCATCCTATCATTTCGTGTTTTACTGGGGTTCTATTTGGTTAATCAAGGACGTCGCTTGTTCAAACTACACCTATCGCCCCGGGCTCAACTTCAG